TAGTCTGTAATCTAATGTAAAAATTCTACAAATTTTAGCTGGATGTCCGTGACAGTATAGTTGGCAGATAAAGACGGTACAGACACGGCCATTGAATAAAACACTATTTCCCATAACAGAAAATCCTATTTGTCTCTTTTCAAATATATACATGTACACATGTGATATGAGCAATCCGTGGTGTTCAATCTTCATTTCTTTCCAAAATGTAGAAGGATATACTTGAACAATTGTAAGACACAACAACCAATTAACCACTCATCTCACAACCCATGCTCAATTAGTATTTAGCTAATTTCTTGTTTGGACTTGGGAGGTTATAATCCTTGGCTTCGGGGAAGAACGAAACATGTAACTGTTAGGTGTTTACCATGCCTAGTAAAGAATGAAAGAGGGGAGAATGGAGGACAAATACTGAACGTTTCCATCATTGGAATCCCCATTACTTTTTGATTTATATCATTACCTCTCTTCAGCAATGCTGTCAACGTAGAATATAAGAATAACACCGAATATTGTAGTGCTTATAAATGCCCAAGTGGAGAAAGGAAGCTCTCTGTCGTTGTCCGAAGTTGATCCCTGAAGTTATGACAATGAAGAAAAATCAAACATAAATTCGGGAATTAGAGTATTCATGAAATATTGCTGAAACTTACAATTATCATGTCCCACATGGCCATAGGAAAGAGAAAACAAGTCGCAGAAGCCATTGTTATAGAATGAAGTCGTCTTTTAAGTTGGTTCTGAGGCGTATTGTAAAGGTAATCTCACATCAGAATGGCCTTGGTAGCTTCGATATCAAAAAGAAGAATACAAAGTAAACTGTATATTAGATAACACCTTAAGTGAAACACGCCGAGCAATGACCCTTCTCAATGTTGATAAAATTCCTGCAAAGATAGGAATTGCCATTTCTTTCAAACCCAACACTTCTTCTGTCTGATTCTCAGCGTCAGAACCATCTTTAGCAGGTAGTCTCAGGTTAAGTTAACAACAATACTTGACGGGAAAATGACACACAAATCGCAACTAATATGTGAAAAAACAGTTCCAATAGAACTTTCAAAGGATATAGAAGGGAAAATGTGTGGCCATGGCCCACCCTTGTGATAATAAGTAGAAAGATACCAGCATTGCAACGAGACCGCCAACCTGATATGATATTTCAAGGAGAATCTGGTAATTTATCTATAACTGAAATAATCTCAAGTTTGAATTTAAACTGCAGGCCTAATTAGAAGAAGACTTCACAAAAAGCACAACCTACCTACTGTAGATATGTGGATGACATAACAATAAAGAACTAACAAAATCTGAGCAGAATCTTAGAAAGAAATTATATATTGAATTGAAGCCCTCATTTCTTTGGCTGCCTATAACAGCATCAAATGGATACAAAGACGCCGAAGAATACACATGTAGATTAAACCAAACCTTTTTCCAAACAAAGCCCCTCCGACCATACAAAACGGCAGAAAGCACTCCAAGGACAGCACCAGAATACTCGGCAAGTATAGCCCTAGATATAAAATAATAATAAATAAATGGATTGCGAGGACAGAAGGCAAGAAAAAATATATATGGCCAAGAAATAAAGCATCCATAAATATTCCCATTCCATCCCTTTATAAATTCCTAAATCACTGTCTACGTGAGCTCCAAATGACTCATGGTTCCAGTTAGAAGAATGCAGAGTGGTTTGTTCATTTTCTTTTCATTAAAAAACAAAACTTTATTGATAAAAGTATTGTGTATGAAAAAAAAAGGGGAAAAAAGAAATTCTGCACCCTCATAACATAAAAGAAAAAATTACAAGAAACAACATCTGCACAAATTAGCAAAAGAGACAGTCTACTGATACGACATTTCTACAAAAAAGTAAACTGAACTAATTGACTTTAGTTTAGCAAGTATCCTCTCAACTTTGCCAAATTAAACGTACAAAAAAGAACATCTCGTTTCTTCCCAATTGCAACACCTGAAAAAGACATTAGGAACTACACAACACAATTGTTCTTTTAAGCCCTTTCACCAAAATATCTGAACAAATAATGAAACACATGCCGTGAGGGAAGATCCAAGACATCAAATTCATATAGAAGTATGAACCAAAATCTTTTTCAAACCGATCAAGAAATAAATTATTCAAAAGTTAGTAAATCACACTTGCACATAATACACCAAGGGGAAAGAATAATAAGGTAGGGTCTCTTATTTTGTAACTTTTTTTGAGTTTTCAGTAATAAGTACTGAACCTTCTTACAGTTGTAACTAAAATGAAATTCTTTCCTATTCTATTAACAATTTGTAGTTCTAGCATTTCAATTCCTAATGATGCTAAATTTTCTATAAAACATGACCTCCTAATGATGCTAAATTTTCTATAAAACATGACCTCCTAATGATGCTAAATTTTCTATAAAACACGACCACCTAATATGTAAATTGAAGCAAATTGTGCACCTATGCATTATACGTGTATGAGCCAAAAAGAAGATCAAGTGGTATCTTTATCACCCACCTCAGAGGTCCACAGGCTTTAATACCCTTTCCCCACAAGATAAAGTACAAAGCTGTTATGCCACCATTTATCACAGAAGGAACTACCTAAAACAGCAGGTTAGATCAAATAAACAACTGATGAAATAATATGAGAAGGTTGTAACATTTGATTCTTATACCAAAACTTTCCTATTTCACCTGGGTATTTGGAAGGGGCTTTCCCTTCCATGGCTTTTGCAAAGTCAAAAATATAATGGCTGCTGGGCCCAAACAACAAAAGAGAAAAAGTACAACTGAAGCTCCAGCCTGAGAAAAATAGCGATACATTGAATAGATTGACCATATCCGAAAGAAATTTCCAAGCATGTGGATTATCTGCAACGGTGTATGCCTGCAAAGAAGGTCAACTCGCCAACATGAAATAGCAATCATACAATAAGATAAAAGATGGATACAACTTTATACTAGTAGGCATACATAAACCAACCCGTTTGTCTGATCTACACTAGCATAAAATAGCAGTCAATTGAATCAATAAAAGCATTCAGAATTATTTTGCCAAGAAATTGTTCACCAATGTTCGCCAGAACATGAGCGTGTTGAGCACAGGAAGAGGAAAATATGTATTAATCACTGATTTTCCCCATTAACTAAATTGGAGGATTCGCATGGTGATTTAGGCTGTGTAATCTTTTCACTTAAGCGATTCATCTCTTTCCATATTCATTATAGCCACTTCCCACAAATAAATTGACATAAAGCTTGAACTACATGTCATGTTTGTTACCATTCATGCTCCGTGGAGCTGGTGAGAAGATTAAGTAGAAAACTAAGGCATCCAAATTCAACCGGTAGTGTCCCAAACTACGGACTAATCCCAATTACGCCAGAGCAGAAATTTCCCATTTCAAACGTAGCGGCAACCGTAAGATTCAAAAAATTAAATTTCTTCTATACCCCCAAGTTCGCTAAGGGAAGAACCAGAGGACTGGGACTACAATATGCAAATGGAACAGAAGAAAAAAATCGGAAATTTATATAGAGAAAACCTGAAATGAGGAGAAGATCCTCGATCCTGAGACATTGATCCCGGTGACATCATTTTCCGAAGCTGACCGCCGATGAATCAACGCCGTCGACGGCTGAGGAATTAAAAGGAGGTCAATTGAGAAACAAAAGAGTTCATTGCATTTTGGCTCTGCAACTCCGTTTCGTGTCACCGTCCCACTCAACTTTCTTCTTCTGCAAGTAGACCGACGATTCTCTCTCCCCCAAATTCAACTGTCGAGTCTTTTGGGCCGTGTTGAAGCCCAACAGTCGAATTGTTAGGTACGGTTAAAAAATAAAAAATAGTTGGGCCGTGTCAGCCCAACATCCAGGAATTGTTTAGTACGCCTAAAAAATAGTTGGGCCGTGTTGAAGCCCAACAGTTAGGAATTGTTTGGTACTGCTAACAAATAGTTGGGCCGTATTGAAGCCCAACATCCAGGAATGGTTTGGTACGGCGAACAAATAGTTGGGCCGTATTGAAGCCCAATATCCAGGAATTAATTAGTACGGCTAAATTTTTTGTGGGCCGTGTTGAAGCCCAACAGTCAAATTGTTTAGTACGGTTAAAAATAAAAGAAAAATTGTTGGGCCGTGTTGAAGCCCAACATTCAGGAATTGTTTAGTCGGCTAAAATTGTTTTGGGCTGTGTTGAAGCCCAACAGTCAAATTGTTTGGTACGGTTAAAAGATAAAAAGAAAAAAATAGTTGGGCCGTGCTGAAGCCCAACATCCAGGAATTGTTTAGTACGGCTAAAAAATAGTTGGGCCGTGTTGAAGCCCAATAGTCAAATTGTTTGGTACGGTTAAAAAATAGTTGGGCCGTACTGAAGCCCAACAGTCAGGAATTGTTTATAAAATATATTTGGCCGTGTTGAAGCCCAACAGTCAGGAATTGTTTAAAAAATATAGTTGGCCGTGTTGAAGCCCAACAGTCAGGAATTGTTCATAAAATATATAGTTGGGCCGTATTGAAGCCCAACAGTCAGGAATTGTTTATAAAAATATATAGTTGGGCCGTGGTGAAGCCCAACAGTCAGGAATTGTTTATAAAATATATATTTGGGCCGTGTTGAAGCCCAACAGAGGAATTGTTCATAAAATATATAGTTGGGCCGTATTGAAACCCAACAGTCAGGAATTGTTTATAAAAATATATAGTTGGGCCGTATTGAAGCCCAACAGTCAGGAATTGTTTATAAAATATATATTTGGGCCGTGTTGAAGCCCAACAGTCAGGAATTATTCATAAAGTATATAGTTGGGCCGTATTGAAGCCCAACAATCAGGAATTGTTAATAAAATATATAGTTGGGCCGTATTGAAGCCCAACAGTCAGGAATTGTTTATAAAATATATAGTTGGGCCGTTTTGAAGCCCAACAGTCAGGAATTGTTTGGTAGGGTTAAAAAATAAAAAGAAACAAATTACTTTTCGATTTCCCGCCACCGCAAGATAATCTGTTGTTCAACATTTCAAAAGACTTTTCATATTGCCATTCTCAGATCATGTAAGCAAATGGTTGGTACAGTTTTGAGGATTCAGAGAGATTCCATAAGGCAAATGATACCGATAGCCCACTCTGCTCGGTCCTGATGTTGCATCGGTAAGCCCCACAAACCCCACCTCTGTATATGCACTGTCTTTGCGGAAATGACCCAATGACTATTCCCCCACAGTTTCATTCTCTTTAATCGCCCATGGCCTCTGGATCTGTTTGCTAATCGTTTGTCTGTAGGACCGATTCGGTTAGACTAGACCCCCTTATAATTTCTGTCTGTTTTCTTTTGTTTTTGTTCAATTTATTTGTGGGGTCTTCCATAATTTGTATATCTGTTGTTCCCAGCTGGTGTTCGTTCTTTAAACACCACTTATTCTCCTCCTTACCTGAAGGAGAGAGCCATTCCATTTGGGTGTGTCATAAGAATGAGTTAAACTTTGTGGAATTTTGGATTTTAGAGAAAGATGGTGTGAAATAAAAGTGGGTTTTAGAGAGTATCTGCAATCGGTCCACACACTTTGATTTGAACATCCTGTAGGAGACGTCCCTGATGAAGTCTGCAATGCCCGGTTGTTAGCAGACAGACCTGTTAATCATGTAAAAGCATTATGTTCTTATTTATTGTGGGCTTGATTTATTTGATTTTCCAAGGTTTTCTTCCATTGAAGGTTGAGAGGTAGGTGTAATCATTTGCTGGGTCAAGATGTGGCTTGCGTTTAAGCTAGCAATTTTTGGGTTTGGGACAGGCCAATCAATAGCCACTTATATGCAAATTACCCTCTTTACACACTCTAATTTTAGTCCATATACTGTATTTTGTGTGTTCTTATGTGGCCCCAGAATTGCAACTCTTGTTTCATATATTTTCTTTATGGATATTTTGTTGTGTTTGTGCCAGATTTGTGTATTGAGACAAATGAAAGTAACATAGAGTGAGCATTGTGGATCAAATTTGCCCAACACATCTGTCTATGAATCTGTTCTTTCTTTACTCATATCACTCTAAAAAGTAAAAGCTGTGGACATAATATCCTTTAAAAGTAGAGCTCCTTTGGCTCATATAAACTTTATGAAGTACACTGAATTCTATTGTGGATCATTGGGGAAGAGTAAATCTTAGTACTAAGTACAATATCTAAGAGAAATTCGGTTAAATGTATTGTTTGTATTGAAAATCATTCAATGTTTCAACATATAATAATTATTCAAGAGCAAGACACATTACAAAAGTTTATGATATTGTCTGTATCAATACAATTCAACTGTTTTTGTCAATTGAGTCAACTGTAAATTGACTTCATTTACACTGGAGATACAGCTACTACACTGTATAATACACATGCATGATCTTATTTGGAAAACTTGAACCACACAATGATAATATCTAAGAAAATGGTGATCAATTAAAACTAAAATTTGCTTATAAGGGTATGGAAACCTCTCCCTAACAGACGCATTTTAAAACCATGAGGCTGACGGCGAAATACGTAACGGCCATAACAGACAATATCTATGAGTGGTGGGTTTGAGCTGTTATAAATGGTATCAGAGCCAGACACCAGGCGGTGTGACAGTAAGGACGCTGGGCCCCCAAGAGGGGAAGATTGTGAGATCCCACATCGGTTGGAGAGGGGAACAAAGCATTGCTTATAAGAGTGTGGAAACCTCTCCCTAACAAACGTGGCCGTGAGAATGACGGCGATACGTAATGGACCAAAACAGACAATATATGTTAGCGGTGGGTTTGGGCTGTTACATCAAATCTGCTGTATAGCTAATTGTTACATCAAACTGTTACTTTTTATGCTCATGATTAAATCCTGTTCTGCATATTTTGCTTCAGATTTTAAGAATATATCTGTTTTCATATTTATTGATCTGATATTATCTGATATTGATCCAACAGTTATCTTATCCTACTAAAAAATATAGGGGGCATTTGCTAATGTAGTTACTTTTCATTTGGTAGTTTAAGGTTTTAAAAAGCCTAAGCTATGGGCTGAAGACATCAAATGACAGTACAATGTGAAACTCACAGTCTAAAAAAGTAGACATGATTTGCAGACAGGATAACAAAATCACATCAGACATAGCCAATATTAGGTAATTGGTTGCCCTGTTCTGCTTTATGCAATTTACAGTATGATGTAAAATTGATACATCACTCTCTGATAGATTTGTTTTCGACATTTTGTAGACTTGTGAGAAAACACTATCTTGTTTGCCTAGAGATATCAAATGCCCCATTTGCAGTCAAAAGGGCTTACTGAAGTGGAAGCAACTGTGCTCTCTTTATCATTTCCTCATCTATTTCTCTGTCGCCTGTTCCTCATGTGATCTTGTTCCCTGCAGGGTTATGCTTAAAGGTTAAACATCAGTACTTCAACATTAATATATGGTTTTACTGCCTGGGATTTTAGCTTTGACCAATCAAAATGGCTCAATTGATCCACCATATTCTTAGATGTTTTTGTTAAGTCTGGACAAAAACTATTTTTTATCCTTCTCCTTTTTAAACCCATCCCACTCCTACCCTTGTTCCCCTGGCCAATCAACACCGTTTTTCTGTTGATCTATCAGTATCACTGCACTTGGCATCCCTCCCCTCCCCTTTCCTGCCTTGCTTCTTTTCTTCTTCAGTCGGAATGGCAGATTCTCATTTAATTCTCGAACTCTTGAGAGAAATTATCTAGAGGTAGGTTGTGAGATCCCTCATCGGTTTCGGGGGAGAACGAAACATTCTTTATAAGGATGTGGAAACCTCTCCCTAGTAGACGCGTTTTAAAAACCTTGAGAAGAAGCCCGAAAGAGAAAATCCAAATAGGACAATATTTGCTAGCGGTGGGCTTGAGAAATCTCTCGAAGAAGTAGACATGAAGACAAAAAGGTGAGGTGAGTGAAGAACTTGTGTGAACTGAAATAAATGAGTGTCTATAAGTTTCTTTCAGTTTTTTTCATTCTCCTAGTCGTACTTCTTTGTCATAATAAAGGAGGTAGCTTACTTTTCAAAATGAAAAAAGAAAAAAGCATCTTCCTCCCACCATTCCAGAAGAAGATTCCTAAACAAAATCAGTTAAAGTAGGCACTGTTTTACCCAACGTTTCATTATTAGAAAGTAAAATGTCAAAAGTTAAACTTTTGGGAAATTGTGGGAGTACCTAAGCTTTTCTGATAGCTCCCGTGCCAAAATTTATGCCTAAAGAGGAACATGCAGCTGCAAGCTCCATTGAAAGAAACTGAATTCAAGAACAAAGTAAATATTTCAGTGCTATTAGAGTAAAACATTATTAATACTTACGAAAAGTTCACCATGTTCCTCACCTCAACCTGATTCTGTAGTGAATGAACATAATTGATTGTCTCATCCAACACCATTGCCATACCCATTGACTGCAAAATAATATGGAGATTTTGTTTGAAATTGAGGTTCCAACGTTTTGGTAAACAGGACAAGAAAAAAGAATTACCTTGTGACATCCTGGAATAAGGTTTTGCAAGCATTTTAATTTGTTGTTGATTTTCTCTCTTCTCACCTGAAATATGAAGAACAAGAAATCAATCTCTAAAAAAATAGTGTTTTGGAAGAAACATTTTATAATTCAGCAATATACCCTTTCTGCTAAACTGTGACTATCTGTAGCTTGACCTCGTTTTGCTCTAACATGAACTACTTCTGCAGGCTTTTCCTGTTCTTTCTCACAGTTCCTTCTTTTCCTTCCTCCTCCCAAGTTCTGAGTAAACAAAGAAATGAGAAAACTAAAAGTTCAAAACAACTGAAACAATTTGTTGAAGAGTTGACACTTGCTTTCAAAGGCCTGGCTGCACAAAGCGCTCCTGAGTTGCTTTCCGATTCTTGTTTTGCTTTTCTCTTCATGGTTTCTTGAGCGTTATCTACCAGTAGACCGGTTCGAGTTATCGGAAACTCGTTCTGACATTTCAGTAAGGTAACACAAGGAAAATTGGATAGTGAGCTGGGAGTTGTGGTTTCTGGTAACTGGAAATGGTAGCCCAATAAGTTCTCCAATCCACCCTCTAACATGCTCTCTGTCATATTAGAGAACTGGGTTAGGACTTCTATATTCAAGCCCCTTTCTTGATGCAGGTCTTGCCTAAACTCTGACATGATTGAGTTTCTCAAAGCTTTCAGGGCTAGGCTAGCTAGCTACTTATATGAATTACTTAGATCAAATTGGATGTGGATGTAATTTATGTCTTCCTTAAAAACTAAGTAAATGAAGATCATTACTGGATAGTTATTAGCACTTGGGATCTGCGTCATACAGAGCCTCATTTTCCTGATGTTGAAGCTCCCTGATAAGTAGGGTCCATGATAAGGATATTCATTTTATCGAATATGTAATGGCAAATGTAAGCATGTATGATTGGTCTGATTTTCTACTGTTCGTGAAAGGAGAAAGAGAGAGATCAAAATATTAGTGCAAAGAGGAAGTAATAAAGCCATAAAGAGGAAAATTGAAGATAAGAACACAGATTTTGTTTATCTCGGATCTTCTTTTGATGGCTGCCCTCATATTTTGTTTACCAGTCTTCCTCCTTACTTTCCAGGACGAACAGAAGCTCTCTTTTCAGAAGCTTAGCTACACAGACTACTGATGAAATGAAGCAGAAAGGTCTCTTTCTTGAATCTATTTCCCTTTCAAATTATTATTGTTTTTCGTTATATGTTTAAATGAATACGCATTTGACATCTGTCATACATAAAGTTTGATGAATAGCTCTAAGTAAACGCTAATTTTAGAATGAATTTGCTTTGGAGTTGGATGGTGTTGGACAATCTGGATGAGTCTTGTTCTTGGTGTTGATAATAGATATTGATGGAGGAATTGTTCATTGATGGAACTAAAAGTTCTCGCTTTTAAAAATGAATTTGCTCTGTTAAGGTATCATAAACTAGTTCATTGATGAACATTAGAATCTGTTCGAGTTAGATTGCGTTATTGATGAATTTAGTTCAATTTTCATTTGGTATCGTTAGAACAGTTGAATTGAGAAGAGAATAGAAAGTTTGGAAACTGAAATTTGATTTCCATCATACTAAGATTAATACATTTACAGGGAAGAAAGCAGATAGGGAAAGAGAGAATCTCTATCTGCTAATCCAAAAAATATGTTTGAATCAGAATCAAAATGAAGACCCACGTGTGGGTTTAAGATTGGAAGATAAAGGAATGATTCTCAGCTAGGGTTTGGTGATCTTCGTCCTCCAATAGTGATTGAAAACCCTCGACATTGAATTCAAACTCGCCTGACCCGGCCAATAATTCCGAGATGTCTAATTCAGAGAATACCTCTGTTTCCAAAGAATTTAATGTTGGAATTTCAGTGGGTTCCTCGATCATGTCATCGTAAATAGCCTCCATGAAAGTCTCTGAAAAGTTTAATTCAGGGGATGACTCTGTTTCCAAAGGATGGGATGTTTGTGTATCAATGCTTACAATTTCAGCAGCTCCCTCGATCAAGTGATCGTTATTAGCCTCCATGAACATCTCTGAGACATCGAATTCAGGGGATACGTCTGTTTCGAAAGGACTGAATGTTTGTGTATCAATGCTTACAATTTCAGCGGCTCCCTCGATCAAGGGATCGTAATTAGATTCCATGAACATCTCTGAGACATCGAATTCAGTGGATGCCTCTGTTTCTAAAGGACTGAATGTTTGTGTATCAATGCTTACAATTTCAGCGGCTCCCTCGATCAGGTGATTGTTATTAGCCTCCATTAACATCTCTGAGACATCGAATTCAGGGGATGCCTCTGTTTCGAAAGGACTGAATGTTTTTTGTGTATCAATGCTTACAATTTTAGCGTCTCCCTTGATCAAGGGATCGTAATTAGATTCCATGAACATCTCTGAGACATCGAATTCAGTGGATAACTCTGTTTCGAAAGGACTTAATGTTTGTGTATCAACGCTTAAAATTTCAGTGTCTCCCTCAATCAAGTAATCGTAGTTAGCTTCCATGCCTAACTCTGAGATGTTTAATTCAGGGGATGCCTCTGTTTCCAAAGGACTGAAGATTTGTTTATCAATGCTTGAAATTTCAACGGCTCCCTCGATTAAGTAATCATAATCAGCCTCCATGAACTCAATCATACTGTCAGCGACTCCAATTTTGGAATCTAAAGTGGCCATTAACGCCTTCAATTGATGTTCCGACAGTGAATCAAGGCAGTGATCACTGTTGGTGTCCTTACTTTTCTGAACTTTCTCTCGCAATTTGGACGTTTCTGTTACGATTTTGTTCTTGCGATCAGAGAAGAATTGGTTCAAATCATAAGAAGACTTAGCGGACTGTTTACAGAAAGATTGGGATTTATAAGAACGGATCATAGCCTCAACTTGGGTACGATCGGAAGGCCAGGTTTCGAATTCCTCAGAAGCGATTACAACGCAGGTTTGAACATCGCAAAGAGTGGAAAGCTCATAAGCTTTCTTCATCAGACTTTTCTTCCTCTTCTGAAACGTTGTTCTTCGACTTTTAGGATTGGAAATCAGTTTAAGGCTCAGTGTTCCTCTCCCCATTCTTCTCCAATTTCAGAGAACCAGAAGCAGAGAGAGAGAGAGAGAGAGAGAGTTTGGTCAAGTTCAGAGTCCGACAGAATTCAACAAATGGGTTTACGGTTCCACAAGCGTCATGCCGTCCCTGTTTTATAGCAGTCCAATTGCCCGCCGGTCACCTTGTTTCGCTCGTGTGATAATTTGCCGGTCACCTTGCTTCCCTCGTGATATTCTGCCGGTCACTTTTTAGCCGTTTGGTTTCCCGCCGGTCATGTTATTGCCACGTGGCAAAATTCGTGTAATATTTTCAGTCAAAGACGTTCGTTGACCCATCGGATTCTGCTGTAGTGGAGGCCGGTGCCGATGGTAATGACAGTGGGGATCCTCCTATTTTTACGCTCACGCGCCCACTGCCAGCGGTGATTCTCGTTACTAATCAGGATGGCCGTTGGAGATTTTATTTTTTTTATCATTTTTTATTATCTGTATTTATGCCCTCACTAACGGTTTAGGTCCCTTTTTATTGTTTTTTTTTTTTTTTTTTTTTTTTTTTTTTTTTTTTTTTTTTTT